GAGTAGAAAATGAAGGCTAATCATGTTTTGGGTGTACTATTCCTTTAATGCCTGCAGTAAAAACGCAAACAGCCTCTCTCCACCTCTAACCACATTCCTTTTCCCAAACAGCTACCTAAAAGACGAATCATCTGGAAACGTGAATCTTTTTCATGTTAAAATATGTACCGTAGGTCTTCAGGCAACACCTGAGAAAAAACATTTTTTTTGAATGCTTTTTTTTGGTTTTTTTTGGCGTAGGCCCTTTGTTCAAACCAGAAAAGCCAACAGGCCTGACCTTCTGGTCCATTCTCCCGCCTTGCTATCACCATGCCGACGTCGGCCCGCCTTGCTATCTCCATACCAACATTAGCCAAAGTTGCTATCACCATGCTAATATTAGCCCACCTTGCTATCTCCACGCTAACATTAATTCTCAACTGCAGGCTGTCTGTAAATGTTGCTGCTTGTGTTACATTTCACATGTGTCAGAAATCAGGAAGTAATGGCAAATTAACCATGGCTAACTGCTAATGTTGCTAACGCTATATTCCCACGAACATACACACAAGTTAAATTATCATGTGTACACAGAAAAGAAGGGGTATAAAAATTGTGTCAGAATAAATTCCTTTTTTTTTTGTCTCTTAAAGGAAATAAAACACAAAGTTAAAGACAATCTAAGGCTACGTTCACACAGCAGCCTGAAGTCACCCAAATCCGATTTTTTGGCCCATATGCGACACAGATCGGATTTTTTTTTCAATGTGACCCAGGCCACTTGGCTCTGTGGTCCTGAATCCGATACGAATCTGATTTTTTCAAATGGGACCTGTGTCTGAATGGCCAGTTCGGATTCATCCGACCTGAACGCCATTAATACCCAACAAAGGTCACTATTATGCGTCTTGCTACACAGAAGCGGCAAGAAAAACAACAACCATGGTAGATGATGATGCGGAGAGCAGTATTTATGTTTAACCATATTGAAAAGATTGTGTTTTTATGGTTGGAAAAGATCGCTAGATGCGCGCCGGCACTACCATCCATTTTTACTTCTGGAAAAAAAAAAGAGCACACTGGAGCGTGACGTCATTGCGTCCTCTACTCCGCATGGGACACTTGCGTTGTATGAATGCAGTTCACACAGGAGATCATATAGAAGTCACATATATTGGGAAATGAACGGCAATACAAAAAAAAAAAAAAAGAATCGGATTTCGCAAAATAATCGGAATTGAGCATCAAGGCCTGCAGTGTGAACGTAGCCTAAGAAGCTACTGCTATAAGAGACACACCGTTTCAGTGTTTGAACATATAAACTAAACAGTAAAAGGCTGTAATCAGCCTGAGTTACCAACATTTAGTTAGATCATTGAATATGTTGATGAGTCAAACCCACTGGTTTTTGGAAACTGGAGCCGGAACAGTTTGGACCTTTTATTCCTATTCTTAGGTGAAACATGGCAGAAGTATTCCATGGCTCTTGTTCTGTGTTATACACCGAGTAGACCAAATTTGCGTGGAAATAATTGATTCCTGTTGACAGCTTTAGTACTGCCAGCCGTATTTTACAGTGTGGGAACTAGAGATTGGCAAGAATTTGGTGATACGATGTTCATCCCGATATGTGTGTAATGATAGGATTTATCCCCATAGATCCCTATATATTAAGAGACATTATAATAAAATTATATACTAACATATTTCTTGAAAATCCTATGAGATATTGCTGCTGGTGCAGAGCTAATGAATAATAGGCCCTTGGATGCATTCTGCTGTATTTTGAAATACTGTCTATTGACATTTTGCAAGATTCTATATTTTAGTTTTATTACACCCCTCGTGGGAACCATTGAGTTTTCATTTTGAATGAGTTGCTCTAATGTTTGGGCTTGGGTTGTAAAGGCTCGTGGTACCAACCTGTTCCACCACCGTCTCAGCAACAGACCACAGCTCTGTGGCTTTAAGAAACTGCTGCTGCTGCACCGCTTCTTTCACGTCCTCTGCTGCACTGGTGAGGTCTTTGAGGCCGGAGTCGTCCAGCAGAGACTGCACACAGCAGGTCGGATGGAAGTAAGAACGCTGCAGCTTGGATCCACAGTCACTGGTGAAAAGCTTTCTGTATGTTACTCACTGTGGCGTAAAGGTAAGGACCCCACGTCATCACCGAGTCTGGAAACAAAACATTCCAACAGTGAGTAACGGCTCATTCGCTGGAAAAATGTTCTAAAATAAGTACAAATTTCCTCATTTAAGTGAATTTACCCTTTATTTTAGTAGGTAAATGAGGTACTTTCCCAAATGGAATGAGTATTTTTTTACTCTTTCAAATACCTGAACTAGAGACTGACTGGTAGAGGATTTTAAGGCTGATAGTGATACCAATTATTTATTTATTTATATATTTTTAATTAAATTCAGTTTATTTCTATAGCGCCAATTCACATCACACATCATCTCAATGTACTTTCCAGTTCAACCAGATCATCCAGTCAGATTGATTCAAAGTTTTCTATC